TCAACTTTGTGGATTACCTTGTCATAAAAACAGGAAGACTCAATAAGCAGGATTTTACTCTCATGAAGCTGTGCTGGATGTGACCAAGGACTGCATTGTCTTTCGGTGTTTTTCAACACCTCTCAGAATAAAGTTCTTCAGAACTTCACCAGGCACTGACATCAGACTGACAGGCCTGTGGAAGGGGTCCTCCTCTTGCTCTTCTTTAGAACTGGGACAACGTTTGCCAGCTTCCAGTCAGCTGGGACCTCTTACGATTTCCAAGACTGCTCAAAAATCAATGAGAGGAGCTTCATAATGATATCACCCTGCCCTCTGAGCATTCTTGGATGAATCCTATCAGGCCTCATAGATCTGCAGGGATCCAGCTTGAGCTGGGAGGGTTAGGAGTTGATCATTCTCACACTCATAGTCCTCCAGCTCTATGCACAGACACAGGCAAGCTTTGGTACAGCTGCCTTTGCTGTAGATCCAAGGGAATATCATCTTGGGTTTTATCAGAAGTAAGTAATATATTTGCATTATGTAGCAAAAAAAGAGCACTGCTTCTAATTTCAGGGTTCATAGTTTTAAAGGCATGGCCATTTATACAATGTATCAGTCAGGCTCCCGCTTCTGCAACTTTTAAGGTCACTTTGGTGTAATTTTACTGCTTAATGAGCTTGCTCACTAGAAAATAAAACCCTTGAAGAAAGACATATCAACCCTATTTTTCATATGACTTCTTATCACAAACACAGTTTCATAGCTATTGACTATACAAACAGATATTTGTGTAGTGTATAGGGACAATATTATTTCTCAAAATTGGCAACTATCCCAGACAGTAAATTTAAAACAAAGCCTTTATAATGCAAGAACACCAAACAGTTCATATTTTCATCTGAACTTTACAGATTGGCATTGAAAAGCTGTACCTTCTTAATAGTACCCTTTAAGAGTAATAAACCAGCAATATGGAGCACAAAACATTACTCTCGGTTTTTGTCTAGTTTGCTGTCTGGTAACAGAAACAACAAAAACCACACAACTCATACAACTCTGTTCCTGTCATGGCCATGTACACTCAAGAGACCCCTCTCTGAAGCCCCTGCCATATTCCTATGACTACTATGTGCCATGGATGGTACTGCGAACACAGTGATAGCGCAGAGGTGCTGGAGCACTAACAGCTGCATGCAGGGGAGCTGGACATTTCTCCAGTCCGCTCCAGGACAGTGCCTAGACAAAATCAACTCTACATACTTCATGCTCATGCACTGCCCTAGTTATTTATATGAACCTTCAGCAGTTCAGCAAAGTACAATTTACCAGTAAGCGTAAATTCAAATAGAACTACAAAAGAAATAAGGATGGTTTCAGCAAATATCTTATTCTTCCCAGTCCTCTCTTCAAAGGCTTGTTTCCAAAAATACTTCAGTGAGGACCTCCACATAACCTTAAAGCCTGAGGATATTTTATTTAAATAGTATATACAGTATGCTGGATTTTCCCATCTAATACAAGTATCTGCCCCTTTATTTTTTCCAGAAGCTTACAGATAATCCTATAAATCCTCACTTTAACATGCTCTGCTCCCAAATATGAGGCATTGCCAAGGCCACTCATCTCTCCAAATCTAAAATATTTGAAAGCTGTTATCAAAACACAATACCACAGCAGCTAGCAAAGAAAATCCTCAAATGCTAACCTTCACACCTCTCTTTCCTCTTCAAAGTAAAATTAAGATTGTTCAAGTTTACACTCACAATTTTTGATATTTGACAGCATAATGGAAATCAGACTTTCATACATACAATTTTTATGAAAAGTTTATTTTCTTAAATAACAACAAATTGTGCACTTTGTAGCAAATCTCTTTCCTCAGATGTTCCCAGCTATGCATACCTCTAGACAGCTGTCTTTCTACTCTGTTGAAAAAACTTTTCCAACTCTTTTTACCAAACTTAGTGTACTGTTTTAGATGCAAAACTCCTGGAAATTTCATGTAAAGATAAAAAGACTGATTTGCTCTGGGTGACAATTCACTTGGGATTTAATCTCCAAACTAATTTTCTACAAAACTCATGCATTTTCTTGGGTAACTTATGGATAACCATTTCTGCAGAGCATATGTGATGCTTTACTGGCCTTGGTGTTACAATTGAAAGGCCCACACCCTCCTGAACTTTGAGTTGAAAACTACAGGTAAGGAAGATAAAAAAAAAAAATAATGATGGACTTACCTACTTGCAATGGTAAAGAATGCATGACTATCGATAACTTAACAGCAGCATCTCCTCATATACAGTACTTCAAACTTCTGTTTCTCTGGACACGTGTCATTAGTTATACAGCAGATTTTCTTTCATTTTTGAATTTCTTTCTTTCTGACAGGTCACAAAGTACCTTACAACTAACAATCTGAACCTGGGCAGCGTGTTTCAGCTAGAAAGATGCTGAAAGGATAACAGGCGACCAGCATCCGTTCATGATAATAAGGGTGAAGGTTGAACAACTAAGAACACTATAGCTGACCATTACTATTTCACAAACACCACAGGACACTTGGCTGAACAAAGATGCCCCAGCAGCCTTAAACACTTCATCAGACTGATGCTGCAAAACACACACTTCCATGTGCACCTTGAACAGAGTGGTCAATCAGAGGAGTACCTGCATCATCATATTACTTCATATTCAGTACCTAATAGAAAAAGATTCAAGATACCTCACATACCTCAGAGTAATAGATGTTTGCATACCACTTAATTTCCAGCTTGTAAACAAGCCAAATAATTTTTAATATACAGGCAGTTTAGTTCAACGTGGTTACTTTGAGAGATATGCAGCCGAACACAGCAACTACTGATCAACAAAACTCCCAACTATGTTTAGGCCTTTGGCACATAATAAAAGTTCTCGTTGATGTGTTTTTTATATTTCTAGAGAGAGTTTACCTAAGCAAACACAGGAAGATTGAACACAAAGCCAGCAAGGCAGACACAAGGCAAATTTAGGCACTGGTTCCTGTATCGGTTGCATGTCACTGATACATAAAAGTTAAATTGTTTCAGAAAACACAAAAGGGTCTTACCTTTCTGCACATGGATGATGTCTGGAAAGTTGGCCAAATGCCCCTGATACAACGCTAACAAATCCATCACAGGATCTAGGTCCTGCCGGGGCTGATCTGCAAAGAGGTCCCCAATGGCATCATAGGCTTCTGCAGTGAAGGCTATGGCTTGGTTGAGGCCAGCTGAAAAGGCTTGCTGGTCCAGCTCAAATGCCTGACTGAGGCACTTGAAGGAGTGCCCCACCTTCTGGTATTCCTTCTTGAAACCAGTGACTTGTTTGCGGGCAAACTCGTTGGCCGTGTGATTAAGTTGCAGGGCACTCTCATCCATCTTCTTGGTGAAGGCTTTGAAGCCATCCACCTGGCTTTCTACCTCCTGCAAGTCCAGGCTGGCCCCAGGGCCTGTGGGGACACTGATGGTCAGAAAAAAGTTGGCACCCACCATCTCATCCTTTTCAGCCTTGCGCTTGCCTTGTTTCCAGGCCTTCTCATCCGTGCTGGGACAGGTAAGGAAGTGCTGGAAGGCATCACACTGAGCGAGCACAGGGTGGCTGCACATGTGGTCCATCCACCAGGCCAGGCCTTTGCGACGTTTGGAGATGAAGTCCTCCTCAAAGCGGCCAGTGGCCTGCTTCTCTGGCAAGTGTGGCACGGAGATGACAGGGAACTTCTCAGCCAGGCGCCCATAGAGCCAGTCAAAGTGCTTGTAGCGGCGGTGCACCTGCTGCCCGGTATGGCTGGGCACCAGCTTGTAGGCGATGTAGCTCTTCATGCCCTTGAATTTGGTCTGTTTGGTGGGGTCCTCGATGGAGCACTGGAAGGGGTACGGGTTCTCCTGCCACTCCGGGCCCCTGGGGCCCAGCACTACGCATAGCTTGTCCCCGTCCTTCACGAAGCCCGACGCCTCGCCCAGCACGAAGGCCTCTCCGCCGGACTTGACGAAGGTGGAGAAGCGATTGAGATTGCGGCTCACCGTGGCCGAGCTCTTGGCGGCGCCGCCGCCGCCGGGGGGGTGCGGGTGTCCCGGTGGGTGCCCCGCGCCGCGGGGGCCCAGGGATGGCTCGGAGCGGGTAGACAGGCGGTACCGGCCCGGGGCGCCGCCGCCCGCCACCTCGTAGTCGGGGTAGGAGCTGCCCAGGGCGCCCGGCTCGTCGGCCACCGTGGAGCTGTCGTCCCAGTCGTCGTCCCAGTCGTCATCGCTGCCCTGGCTGGGCTGGTAGGAGCCGCCGTAGGGCGGAAAGGGATACCCGGCGGGGGGCGGCGGGAAGGTCTCGGGCGGGGGCTGCTGCGCCGCCGGCTTGAAGGCGGCGGGGGGCGGCAGCGGCTCGAATCCGCCGACGGGGACGTTTGCGTAGCGGGCGGGCGGCGGCGGCTCGGCGGCGGGGGCGCGGATCACCTGCACGTAAGAAGCGGGGAAGAGCCCGCGGTCCCCGCGGCTGTTGACGCCCTCCAGCCACCCCTCGATGTCCTGCTCGCTGCACAGGCTCAGCACCTCGTGCTCCCGCAGCGAGATCTCACCCGGGTTCTCCGACCTGAAGTCGTACAGCGCCCGCGCCCTCAGCGCCATCGCCGCCCACCGGGGCGCTCCCTGCGCCGCCGCCCCTCACCGCGTCGCGCTGGTGGGGCTGCCGCAAAGAGTGCCGCCGCTCTCGGGCTCCTCGTCCCGTCGGCGGCCTGCCCGGTGCCGCTCCCGGAGCCGGCGGCGGGCGCGGGGCCGGGCCGGGCCGTCCCACGTCGCCAGTTGCGCTAATCCAGAGCCGAGCGGCAGGGCGGAGCAGCCGAGCGCGGAGCAGCCGAGCGCAGAACGGCCGCCCCCATCGATGGCACCCCCCCCCACCTCTCCCCTCCGTACGCCCCCTGCCGGCCGCGGGCCCGGGGGGCCGCGCCCAGCGCCCCCGGGCCCGCAGTGTCCCGGCCTCGCCGGGCCTGCGCCGCTCGGCCGCCGCCAGCGTCTCCCGGTCCCTCGAAGGCGCGTCAGCGCTCCCCCGCGTCCGGCCGGGAAGCCTCCCGAGCCCCCGCGTCTTGTCCCCGCGCTCCGGTGCGGGAGCCGCGCCAGGCGGGTGCTGAGGGGCCGCGCCGGTGCTGCTGGCGCTCCTCCGTCTGCCTGCTGCGGCCAGAGAAAAAGAATGTCAGGGTGCGTTTTGCTGGTGGATAACGCGTATTTTAGCCTTCGCAGAAAATGTAGTCATGCCACTGATGTTGGTTTTCTGCGGAACAGACTCAGTCCGGTCGAGGTGCTTTTTTTCCCTGCATGATTATTTCCCCACCTGTTGCTCCTGTGTTGTCTAGTCATATGGATCCCATCCCGTTAATCATCTTTTACCTCTCTCTGGATCCCTAGGTAGAAGTTTATCTCAAAATTTCTACCTGTTCACAAGCAATTAGAAGGAAGTGTTTCAGAGGAGATGTGACAAGTCCCCAGTTGTCTTTCTAGTCCCCAGTTCTTCATGTTTTCCCAGTAGCATCCAGGTATACTGCTTATTTCTCTGCCATAGTTTAGAGAGTATGTTACTTCGTAGATTTGTGTGGAATAATTTGTCTTCACCTGGAAGCAATTCACTGGAATGCTACAAGACCCATGGTTTCCTTTCACTGCTGGTTTTAGTGTTTGGTACCTGGGGTTTACTTTTTACACTTCTTCAGACCTTCATTTTCTCCACAGTTAGTTCACATATCATCACAGTACTTTCCTGTTACTGTTGCTCAGTTTGTCTACTCTATTTTTTTTTAATATGTCAGCTCACCCCAGTCTATGCATGTTAGCCCCAAACTCCTTTAATGCTTAAACCTGGAGGTCTGTTTTAATTACTGAGTACAATGACCAAAGAAACATGTAACTCACCACACAACCAGCTCCTCAGTAGCCAGCCCTGTGGAACACTTTTGTGTTGCAGCAAGTTTACAGAGAGCAATTCTGAGTATCTGCAGCAGTGCTAAGGTGAGAAGCATCAGCTGTCTCCTGAGAGAGAGCTGGCAGCTGGTAGAAACACCCTGACCTGGCCTGGTCATCATCACTCACCGCTGACCAGCAGGCCTGAGGGGATCCTCAAACCCTGCATGAGGACCTGTTAGTGCTCCTAGAACCACCACAGCTCTCTTTCCATCGGTCAGTATCTGCCTCTGCGACTGATGCACCGTCAGCGTCTGCCTTTCACACAGGTCTGGTTCTCTTCTGCTAGACACAGAGCTAGCCATGGCAGCTGGCCCACAGCCACCATGCTGCTGTCCGCCCGCCGCCCAACTTACAGCAAGGACTAAAACCCCGACAGGAGATACATGTGGATCACTTTGACCTTGGCTTTAGATTTCATCCCAAATTCTGACTGCTGCAGATCAAGGTAAGGGACTGGGATTTTGCATTCCTTCCAAAGTTACTGCTAACATTGATCTGGGAAATCTTATGCATTCATGTGAATCCACAGGTTAAACTACAGAGGAATAGTCCTTGATTTGCCTTCTCTATACTACTTATGCATTATATGTATATTTGAGTGCACCTGATCCAGCTGCTTTCCTAAACTTTTCATTCCAATTCATCTGAATTTCAATGTTCTTAATGATTAATGTTGTTTTCTCTGAATAGATAAAAAAATATTTTTTGTCACGTAACAGTACTAGACAGATGCTGAACAGCTTGATTTGTTTTAAACAGATATTTAAGATTTACTCTCATTGGAGAATGTGGAGTGACAAACGGATGCCTTGCACAAGTGCAAAGCTGGTTCAGGAATGGGATTTTCCTACTCCAAGCGGTCCTGCTGACTGTTCCTGTCAGGCTGTGGCTGTTACAGCCAGGGCAGGACAAAGGGACAACTTTGAGCTGGGCATCTCTCTTACTTCCTGGGGTCTGGTGGACGTGGCAGCTGTCCTGCTTCCTCGTGCTCCTCTCAGTGCTTTTGGCCTGATTTATCCCTAGTAAGTATTGGCTTGATGTTTGCATCTCAAAGGAACAGAAGCAAAGGTGTCAAGTCCAACAGGGACAAAAACTGCTACCAGGAGAATTTGAAGGTGTAAGATCTATAAAGCTAATGAAAGTAGTATTTCTTAGTTACTCAGGTTAAATTTTTAAAGTAGTTATTCTTTAACATCTTTCAGTTTTATCTGAACACTTTAATAAAAAAATTAAGTTATGTGACATTGAGTCATGGTTTTTCCAGCATTAATGTTTTTAATAAGGCAAAAATACGAAAGGAAAATGTGTGCTATGTTATTTTCCTAGTAATCAAAACTGTGAAAAGAATTTGGAACAATAAAAAGGTTACAAATGACGTTTTCCATAGTTTCCCACCTGTGAGCCAATTCTGATTACCACAGTGCTAAAGCACTCTGTTGTGCATATTATAAATAACATCTTAAAACCATCACTTATTATTTTCAAGACAACTGACCTGCAAAATTAGAAGCCATTCTAACAAACATTTTTAAATGTTTAAAAAAACCAAAACAACAGCTTTCAAAGTCCTCAATAAGCATCTGCAGTGCCAAGTAGAAGAGCTGGATTTACTGAGCTTTTCTCTTGATGTTTGGGCTAGGAGAGACAACGGTTTCAAAGTAAGAATGGTACATAGTGACTTAGAGCATTTTAGCTGCACAAAGCAAGTATCTCAGTGCTTTGCTTGGTCAGGAATTTCTACCATCTTCATTGGGAATTGAATTTTCAGAGGCAAAGTGAATGTTATTATAAAGACTAATAACTTGTAATTCAGTGAAAATGTCTATTATTTACTGTGTTCCAAGGGACCTGTAATTTGAGGCAGTAAAGCTAAAAGCCAGACTAAAACCAAATGGTTAGCATGTATATGGGGTATCTCATTGTATGTGAGTTAGTTGTCTCAAGACACCATTAATATGTGCTAAAAGAGATATTTGAAAGCAGCATGATTTTTTTGCTGATCAAGTACAGAAAATTAGCGTAAAAAATTTGGAAACATTTAAACATTTTTGAAAAAAGTATGGTTTTGATCTATCTTTAATTAAGAAAATATGAATGAAGAGAGGCTCTGAACTCAAATGTAATGGAACCTCATATTGCCCTGTGTAACTTCTCATTGAAGGTGTCAAATCTTTCCATCTTTATTTTGTTACTATTCCTTTATGCTATTACCTTGCTGCTTTAGTAAGAAAAGCAAAATGAATTTTCATGAGAGAAGATGAAACTTTGGTGGCACTAAGCCTTTTCTTTATGATGGTACTCCTCTGTGGACCCTGGAAAAATGTTTTTGTGGACATTGAGCAATGCTATAATAGGAAATACACTGAATAGTGCTTCGTGCAAGGAAATGGCTACAAATAGGTTGGTTTTCATCCACATAATTTCTAGGAGCAAGTTTGATTAAATGCTTACACAGTATATGTTATTTTTTGGGGGGATTTTGCTATTTGTGGTAAATCTGTAGCTGGTGTTACTACCTCATCATAACTAGAGCTGAGTTTAATTTTTGGGAAACCATACAGATTGATAATAAATTTCACTTAGTAGGGGAATAAACTGTTTTGCTTCCATTTTTATGTAATCTCTGATAGGGATGTCACAGTTTGGGTGCCTGTCAGGGCTGCCACTAGAGGGCACAAAATGATTTTAAACACAAAGTTGTTTCAACATTTCACTTGCTAAACGTAAAAAGCTAAAGGCAAGTAAAGACTTTGAACTATCAAATCAGTAAAGAAAGGGCTATAGATTTGAAAAAACATGTTATTCTAGTGGTATTTTTTCAGTTTCTGAAAGATGGAATATGATTTTATTTTTATTGTTTTAAAAAATCTTACTTGAAAACATAAAACTGAGAAATGAAAACGCTTCATAGTGTTCTATAAACTGAAATTTAGGAGAAGATGCAGTGAGATATAGAAGGAAACAAGATATTTTTCAATCACAAGCATGAATTAAACAAAAGTTACATTGCTTTTTTTCAAACTATATTCTGTAACTTTAGAGATAATTGATCAGAAACACTGAGGCTTTTGCTTGGCCTTTGCAATATGTATCAGCTATCTCAGCCCCAGTCTGTGTAATAGGTGGCTGCTACTCTGTCATTCTCCACTCTCCATTTAATATTCCTTGAAATGTGTGTCTGTCTCCATTTCCTGTCTGAAGGGATAATGCTTCAAACCATCTAAGGATGCTGTCAGGATAAATCCTTTATTTATGCAGTTCTTCCATGCTGTGGCAGGGGTGGTATGTGCTCGGTTGACATTCTGAGGGTGCTGAGTCTCTCATGGTTATGGGCAAATGGGTCCATGCCAACTGCCAGTCCCTGGGCCTGCACACAGGCAGAATTACCTGCTGAGTAAAGACTGAGACAGCAAAAGAGGATGAATGAGCCTGTTGTACTTTGTCCTGAGCTACCTAAGTCCTTGAAGGATTATCTCAGTCTTACATTTATCAATCTAATACCTTTAGTAATAACAAATACTTGATAAAAAGCAAAACTGAGAGCTAAGTGGGTAGCTGATGTTGAGGCCAGCATTATATCCGTGTACCATATAAACATGGCATGAAAGTAAAGTTTTCCCAGCAATAAACCCATTTTATAGGATGAATAAGTCATAGTATAGTAAGAATAAAGAATTGAGCACTCATTAATTTCCTGCATGCATATTTCCCTGTCTTCACCCAGAACAGAGAAATTGCAGAGAAGACCTCCTTAGCAGGGTCTGTGGTTATGTTAATGCTGAGGTTTACCATGGGAAAATAAATACTGATGGGCTCTAAAAATCCACAGGACTTGAGCTGAAGTTGCTCTGGTCAGTGCCGAAAGGTGCCTGGCAGAGGCTGGTTGCCCACTGAGGGACTAGCCGCTGGCAGCTCCTCAGTTGTATATGTCAATGGGTCAGGTTAGATGAGGCTTGAGACTACTTTATGAATTTTTACTGTCTGTCATTGAATTTTATGTCATTTATTTTTAAGTAATTGAGTGACTTCTTGGTCTCAGCCTGGAAACCAGGACAAGTGCTCACTAGCTTAGGCAACAAACCAGTTTTGGTGGCATTTTGACCATCAAAGTATCTTATATTTTCTCAGAGCTTGTGTTTAAGCTGATACAGTGCATTCTGTACCAGGAGATAGTGGCATTTCCATTAAGGCTAATTAATATTTGGGTATTTATGGGATATTTTTTCTCTTCAAGGAGAAAAATTTTGTTCATGTTGTTGCTTGAGGACATGGACTACTTGAAGGATGGCAAGGAGTTACTCATTTGTCTGTGTCAGCTCAAGACATGGAGAGTTCTGAGAAGCTGAGTGACTCAAAATGACACTACACAGAGTTTTAGCTTCCATGTTTTGCTGGTCTTTTGGAGAACATAGAGGTCTGCAAATATTGAAGTGGTGGAGAAGGTTCTTGCTGTGCTTGCTTAGGGCCATGTATTTGTGAGAGCGAATGACAATTCCCTATCACAGGTGGTGTAACCTGGTGCTTCCTTGTTTTGAACATTTGCTTTAGGATGGAGTTCAATGCAGAGATGTATAGGGGATCCCATACCATTAGTAAAATTGTAAGAGATTATAATTTCCTAAGAGAAACAGTATCAGAACCTGTCTCTGGTTGTTCTGTATGCATTTAGAGTGTTTATTGCTACCCATAAATGCAAACTGTGCTCATCTAAGCAGAATTATCCAAATCTAAAATACATTTTTATAAAAGGGCAAGTGAAAGTAGAAATGGAAAAAATAAGGAGTTGGTAGCAATATCAATTGATACAAGAGAAGGCTCAAAATATATTAAAAATTATATGGTCAGTGGGAGGTCAGAACATATTCAATTAGCAACAGAATCCTGGCAATAGTTTAAAGAGTAGGACATGAAGATGGCAAAATTACCAATGATGATACATGTATCCATAAGGTACAAAGGTATTAAATATATACAAAGTTATTAGATACGTATTTCTGCTCTATGTGGAAAGATTATGCTTACAGTTTTTCATGTTGATAAATTAATTTGTGTTCTATTAGTAGCTAATAAGACTATTTAGTAGAAGGTGCTATGCTTTTGTATCTTTGTAACTCATAAAAACAGGGTAATAGAAAGACTGTCCCAAAAGCTCTCCGGAGTATTACTTTTTGTTTTAAGATAAAATTACCACTGAACAAATCTCAGGGGACTAGGGAAAACCTGCTCTTTGTAGACTATGATGATTATTAACATTTTAATAACTGATGGAGGGGTGTGATGAGCTTTCCATCAACTGAAGTCTTGAAATAAAGATTTGATCTCTTACTTAAATACGTGTTCTTTTTCAAACATATTATGTGCTGGCTTAGTGAGGAAGTTATCAAATGAGATAATGCGCATTCTGTTCAGGGTGTCACACTAGAGATCATCGCTGATCCTTCTGCCCTTTAAATCTGGAATAAAATAAATCTGGAAACCTTATCTGTCTCGACACTAGTCATTTCAGACTGAGGTTTCTAGCAGGTTTAAGTTAAATATTGCTATGGTTATTATGATAAGGTCTAGAGTTCATATTTCTTCACTTACTTGTCTCATAGTCTCCTAATCTGTATTGAGTCTCTCAGTTTCATTCCGGGATCAAGTCCCGAGGCTCCATATATACATTAAGGCAGAGGCTGTTATTTATGGAGTGTCTTGTACAGTACATACTAATCATGCCACCAGTGCTTGGGTAATTGTGGTAAAGTTGCAAAATATAATTGAACTGCTATTAAAATGCATACAGCTGTCACCAGAGCAGGTAGCTTATGAGCTTCTGTCTACCTTGTAAGACAGAGTACAAGAATTATATTTTTATTAGTCACACTCTACTCTGAAAATCATTCCCCTTCATTAATTTTTCATGATAGCTATATCAATGGATCATTTTTAGTTAAGAGTTGGACTTATTTAAACCCAACATCCAAATTCCAGATTAGCTTATTCACAGACAGTAGCCGTGCCTGCTCTTTGTGCTTACTCCAGTGTGCTGCTGTGATGTCTGTGGGACAGATAACTTCTATGCCCAGGCTGAGAAGGGAAGGGTATATCCTGGAAAGTGAGGAGTGGAACTAAAAATAAAAGAGTTAGTGCCACTGGAACACAAAACATTCTCAGATCCCATCTTGCTTCTTGGAAATCTGACACATACAGAGAACTACTCATGGGGTCCCTCTGGGTGTCTGAATCATCTGCAGGAGCAGTCAGCTTCTACTCCTGGTACTGTGGTGGAAAATAGGAATGTTCCAGCCAGCCCTGGAGGCTGCACCTGAGTGAGGAAGTCGCTGGATCTAACCAGCTCCATGCAGAGCCAGTGAGAAGGATAACTGCACAGCTTAGCTACTTTCTACTGATTCAGTAAACCAGTTTGAGCTGATGAAGACTTGACTAGGAATTTTGAGGTGGCTAGTTCAGGTAGGGCACTTCCACTTTTATTCCCATGTCGTCCGACTCTGCTAAGAACAAATGAAACTTTTAGAGATTCTGACATGGATATATCTGCTTACATGATGAAATATACAATTAGTAGATAATGTAATTGAAGAGATGTGCAATTGAAAATAAAGGTAGTTGAAAATAGTAGCTGAGGTAGCTTCATCTCTTTCAGCCTAGCATACCAAGCATATCAATACTGAACCAAGGGTTCAGTCCATGTACATGTTCCTTTTCTATTAACAATCAAAAAATTTTGAAGTAATTTTAAAACATATTTCTCAGCCCCTAAAAATGCTTATTTTACAAAAAAGTCAAATATTTCTTGCAGAAGGTTTAAATATTATGTCTTCAAGTACTTTTTTATATATCTACTGGTTTTGACTTGGGATTGAGTGTATTTTCTTGACAGTAGCTGCTGTGGTGTGGATTCGCTGGAAACAGTGTTGGTAACAAGGATGTTTTGGCTCTCCCCGAGAGCTATGTGCCAAGGCCTACCTGCCCTGGTTCTACAGTTTTCTGTCTCCTCTTCATGCACAGACCTTCCTGCTGCCGCTTCTGTGCCGTGTAGCAGAGCTCAGCAGTCGCATGCTTCATCCATCGCCAGTGCTCACTGGGGTCAGGGGCGACCCAAAGCACAGTAAACACACCAAGGAGCATGACAGGAACTGTAAATTATTCTGTGTTTGCACCAGTTCCATTTGTGCAAGCTGCTGCTAGACCTACTTCCCTTTGAAAAGGCTGGCATCAGCAGTATTACCATGTGGCTAAAGAGGGTTACTTTTAAAGCAGATTCATGGGATTTGTGGTGAAAATGCAGGCCACCATGGCACAGACAGCAGAAATCTCCACTCTAGCTTTAACCTGAATGGGGAGCCCTGAGCTGGAGTGCCATGTTTCTCAAGTGTTTTTTTTTTTTTAATAAGGGATGACTTTTCAGCCTGAGCACAGAAGCAGAGAGTCTGAGTTTTCTGGACCTGAGCACACAGGGACAGTACTTCTGGCTCCAGAGTTAGCACAGGTGGGGCCACTCAGTACCCAGTGTACAGTACAGGTGTAACTGTTTAGACTTAACTTCTGTGTTCACAGTGTGGGGCTATTGAGCTGCTGTCCTCTGGGTGAGAGGGGACAGTAGCTGTCTCTGGTAATGGCAAAGACAGAGGTCTGCATCTCTTTCAAACAGAAGGTGTACCTAATGTTTTCAGAAATATTTCTACTCACTTTAAAAACCAGTCTTGTATGGTTACTCAGATTAAAAACTAACATTTTGATTCCTGGATATGGAGTAAGTAAGGATTGTGAGACCTTTCTGTCTGAGCAGGAGTGTTGCCACCATGATACACCAGAGATTTCCTTTTCTCTTTTCCAGTGCTGTATCTAAGTTGGTATTGTGTGACTGGTAGGTATCCTATCAGCCTTGGCTCACTGTATTACCAATATTGGACCCTATAGAGAGATCTCAAATGCCCTGGGTGCAGCAGAAACCATAAAAAGGCAGCAAGGCAATGAAAGGCATTTTTGGGCTTTCTGCCCACAAGAATCTTATGGAACTTTTTTTTTTTTTTACACCTTCTTTTTGGAGACGAGTGCCATATTGATACATTTTCTTCTGTATGAAGGTATTTTTCACAGTGCTTATATTCATGCATTAAATCATCTTTAGCCATTTGGAGGAGCAGTTTGATCAATTACAAAGGTAATTCCTCACTGTTGGGAGCTGAGAAGGCTCAGTAACACTTGGTCTGCAGGGCTTGCACAGGCTTATCACTTATTCTGGGCCAGAATTTTATAGACAGCCAATTTCACAGTTCCTAATTTAACCACATCAATATGTCTTAAACCTGTCTTAATCTGTAGCTGTTCTGAAATCCTTTGCTGTTGATTAATATCTCAGTCTGCTGCCCATGAGCAATATTAGCACCTTTCTATGTGACATTCACATTCAGTTCTAATCAGATTATAAAAGTAAAATATCATATAAGATATGTGAGAACAGATCTTTCCAGATTATTCAGAAACTGTCTGCCAAGTACTTTGAGGTTGTTCTGGTAAACACATAAAAATCATGCATCCAAAATCTTTTGATAAATCACCACTTAAAAAAAAGGAGGGAAACATTTCCTATGCTCTTCTTGATGCTGAAATGCAGGAATTCAGTGGCAGGTCCATACTCCAGTGTGGTCCCTGTTACATGAAGTCTCAGGTTCTAGGTCAGGGGAAGTTCCCATTTACCAAGGAGCATGGATATAGACTTTCGTAAAGATCTGTCTACAAGAGAAGGTAAAGTTTGGCTGCATAAATCTGTGCTATGTCTGGGTCAAGGTGTTCCAGTGTTTTCTGACTGAAAGACACTGTGAGCAAGTACAGACTTGGGCACAGAGTGATGCAGAGAGACTTGCAATACAGAACAATCAGATGTCACATTCTCCACCCAGTTTTGTGAGGCAAGCCTGTGTACACAAGCAGGCCTGTGTGTAACCATTGTATTAACATATATAGAAAAGATGATATGATTTTGGCTGTATGATCTAACTCCTTGCCAAGTTTCCAGTAGCTTAACCATGATCTAATTTGAAATAATTAAATCAGTTTTGGTTTTTTTAGATCATCATTCTCATCTATAGGGCTATGAATATCATCACTACAATCATAGCTAGAATAGTTTTTATAATAGCTTGTAATTTTAGGTGATGAAATTTACAAAACTCTCTGTTTTTACAAAATTTACGAAACAAACATAACCAAAACAGATTGCTAACTTGTGATCCTGAACACTATCCCAATAGTTGTGCCATGAAGTGGTGTAGAAACCATGGGTTTAAGCTTGTACAGTTTTTGTAAATCTGGTCTGTAAAGTTTAAAATCTACACTAGACCTGCATCTAGAATTCAGTTTCTTAAGTCCATGTTACATCTTCTACCAGATTGCTGTCTGATGAAGCTCCTAGATGTAGAAATCTAGATCTGATTTGCTATTTGATCTTAAACTAATATGCAAATTGAACACAGACAATAGGAGGGAAAAGCGTGGGGTTGAATAGAAGTGCAGGGACATATGTTTTATATTTGGTTTAGTTTGTTAGAAAACATTACAGTCTTGACTTCTGGTGTATTAAAAATATAATTGCGTGTCATGGAAATTTACAATTCAGAGTTTATTTTGCCTTTCTTGCACAAATTTTTCTGACTTTTTAGCACAATTAATGAATAAAATACAAGAATTGTACCACCCACTTTTCTAAAACCAATTACTTCAAATATCTTTAAGTCTAAACAGCAAAAACGTAAATCATTCTCATAAATGGACATGTGCCGACATACTTCAGCCAGTGAGAGCCCAGGTTTTGTTCATCATAGTTTTCTTGTATTCCTAAAATTGTATTTGTATTCAGTTTCGTTTGAATATGGTTTTGATTTGTCCAAACAGCAGATGGCTGTGATAAAGCATCTGTTTTTAACTTGGCACTTTCCATTCCACATTCCTTTACTATTCATAGCACACCAGTCATAGTAGTCTCCAGTACACATAAAAGGAGGCAGTTCGACTTGCAGATGCAGTTACCCTCAAATATGTGAGTATTTACAAACCCATAGCATTATTTCTTTTAAATATTGAGAAGACCACATAGATAGAGAAGGTGGATATTTTTTCACCTCCGCCACTCTCATGAAATGTGAGACACTGGAACAGAAACTAAAGCTGAGTCTGCAGCAAGGAACCCCTGTATTTAAAATTAGATTCATGTAGGGCCTGTGTTCCTATGGGGAGAGGGGGATTATCATTGGCAGAAAAATTTGCTCTTGAAGACAGAGTTGTGGGATTGCCTTAATTGTAAAGCAACATGGACAATTAAATACCCATCAGATTAAATTACAAGATTACCTAAAATGTGCAGGAAAAAAGGCATTTGTGCAAGAGCAATGTCTTTTTATTACTGAAGTTTCACAAAGAAGAACTTGGTACTTTTGTAAACAAAAATCTTTTCTTCAATTGTTATGTTAAACAAAACCAATTTTCAGAAATGTCTTTAAAAGTTTTCTTTCAAAGTAATTTGACAGAAAGTATAATTTCTATTTATTGTGTTTTCAAGCAAATAAAGTCAAGTAAATAATTTTTTTTTGTTATAGTTTGAAACATGCAACACACTTCTAAAAAGTAATCTCTTGAGAGTTTTTTGGTACAGAAGCTTGAAATGTGGAAATAGGGATTTTCTCTTGATGGTATCTTTCAGTTCATGTGCTTTTCCAGAGAGAAGAATTTAATCTCAAAAATTAGAAAACAGATTTTTAAAATTTCTATAAGATTCACAACTTGTCCATTCCTTCTTTAATGTTTATGACTATGTATAACAAATGCTTACTGCTTAGAAATACAATTCCCACTACTTAACTCAAAACTGTGCTCCATTTTCAATACGTTATCAAATAGATTTTTTTCTTTTCTTCTGCTGAGACTAGCCTGAGTTTTCTACTGTTTGAACAGCCTGTGTTTTCAACCTATGTGTAGCTGGAGGCAAGCAGTACAACAGTTTACATCAAACAGTAAACTCAGCATACAAAAAATATATACAAATAATTTCCTTTAATAAATACTGCTACTTGCTTACTACACCCTACAGCATCGCATGACTGATATAATTTTGTTACATTAAGAATGATTTTATCTCACCGATAACTATAGACATGGTTCTAATTCTTTTCCACTGAGTTCTTCATTTCAACAACCAAAATGCCATCATGGCAGAAAAGTGCACACAAGTCTTTGTTCTCCACTCCGTCGGGTAATTTGTATTGTCTGGTGAAGCTTCTGGATATGAAACCATGCTCGTCCATCCTGGGTCCGTGCTGAGCTTTAATCAGGAGCCAGCCTTCGAAAGTCTGGATAATGATATCTTCGGGGCGGAACTGCACAACATCCAGCAAGACCCGGAATTGTGTGTTTTCCTCCTCCTGGCCGCTCTTCCCAGCCCCAGCCGTGCTTTCTGGGGCGCACCTTTGGTTGCTCAGCGCAGCAGTGGCAGGGCCCGGCAAAGCATATAAAAGGTGGTTCAGTCTGTGTGCCTCCAGCTCCTGGCCAACAAACTGCTCCTGGTAGCGTACAGGAGTTTCCACCCAATGTCTTATGACAGCTTCTGCCATTGCTGAGGCCGAAGGATCAGCTGCTGCTCCTGCTGTGCTGGGAAACTGCAGAGTCACACTGAGCTTTTCCCAGCCTTGTGTCTTACCCACAGACCAGTCTATCAGTTGATGTCGCCTTTCACTTTTAGAACAGGCAGAGCTTAACGTTTAATACAGTGTCCTGTGCTGCAGTGCTGTGAGACTTGTTTCGTCTTTTATCCACTAACAATAGAGCACTATTTATAGCACTGCAGTCTTGAGTGGCTCCAACACATGCATGGCTTTCATGCAGGAATAGTAAAAGAAACATTTTAATGCACATCTTATTGCAACATTGTGCTGTATATAATTATGAATAATGATTACACAAATAATGTGAATGTTTTTTTATTTAAATGGAATTCAGTACTTTGGTTTTTCCAAGGGATATGTGGTAATAAGTACAAAATCTGTGTTTCTAATTGAATTGTATGTTCTAATTGAATTGTGTAGCTAGTGAGGGAAGAGGTTTAATTACCTTGGCAGCCGGAATGGAGCAGATTTCAGGTTAGCTAAACTGTGAAGTTAGCAAGTGCATTGGACATTTTTGCAGAAGCTGTGCATAGGTGAAATTTGGGCATGGTCACCCCAGGACACCATGTTTTTGGTGGGAGGAGGGAACCATCTCTGCCCAAAAAAGGGCAGTCTGTAGGGCTCAATCTGCAATCTTAATGACCTACAAACACAGCAGAGACATCTCCAACATGTCAGGGAGTCAGCCACAAGAGTGCAGACAGAACTACAATGAAAGCTCATGTTTCAGAGCTTCCAGAAGAGCCTAGAGTTATTTTCCCCCAGGGGCATAATTCTAAATCCTTAATGCTACCACATTGCCCCAGTAACTCCCATCTTCTGTTGCTTAACAGCTTGAACCTGTGATCTCATCTACTGCATGTGTCTGCAAAGCAGGACTGACGACTTCCAAGGCTCTCTGAGGTGTAATTGTGGAAGCACAAAATGTTTGGGAATGGAAGTGACCTCTGGACATCATCTATACCTACCCCCCTGCTAAGTCAGATTCACCTAGAACAGGTTGCACAGGATCACATCCAGGTGGGTTTGAAGTGTCTCCAGAGAAGGAGCTTCTGCAACCTCTGCCTTGTAATCTTCTTGCCGGTCTATGATTGCAGGGCAGATAATGCCTACAAAGGTCAATCGTTTGTTTAACAAGAGCTAAGAGAAAAGTGCAATAAAGAAGGAAAGTAATTTCTAAATATTAGCATGTTTGCTAGAATATCACTCTAGATGAGCTTGGTAATGTGAAGCAGAATGTGTTACGGCAATTGATGGGGAAGATTTGTTTGATTTGTTAGTGCAGTAAAAGTTGCCCTATAGTTAGAAATAATCAAATAAGACACTTTTATTCCTTCTTGTTTGGCTATTGTTATTCAGAGTTCTCTCTCTCCCTTGTCCTTACATGTTCCATTACCATAGTTATTACAGGATCTTTGGTTGCTAATGGAGTAATGAAGAAAGAGGCATCTAAACTTCAATATTTATCACATATTGACTTCTTTATTGCATTAATAGCAGGGCAGAATTACCAGATGTAAGTGTAATTAAAGCTTTAAGGCTGCCATTTTATTTTAAACTTATAAAGGTTGTAGTGGAATGTAAGGAAATTTTCAAAAGTTCAAAATAACTCACATTAAAGGCCAACTGTTTAATTGAGTGTTGTGAGAAAGAAGTATTGTGAGTAAGGAGAGTGAGGCTACTTTATTTAACTGTTTGCTCTTCTCCTGTTAAAGTGTCCTCCAGAAATAATTTTAAAATGCAATTCTGTATGTATGATTGACTAAAACAGTGATAAAGCCAACCTAGATAATTGCTTGTTATCTGCTCAGGTGTTTTCTCTTTTGCTAGCAAATGATTCATTTGATGAAGAAACTTTAACCCTGATGTGAAGCAGTATGCCTGGCTAGTTGTGATATTATGTTTATACAGATTCCTGAAAGCTATGGCTGTCCCTAATTAATTCTGTGATGGTAGCCTGACTTATTTTACTTAAGTTTTGCACTTCATTAATAAATGTACTGTACAGGAATATCACTATTAAATTTTGTTTTATTTATTCCCATTATCTCTGGAAAAAGATACACTTGCCCATAGTTACACTTCAAATGGAAACCGAAGTCACCGTCTCACTGCAAGTCACTGTGGGACAGCTGTATCTATTCCCAGAAACAGCTGTGTTAGTCTTTCAAATGTCTGTGCTAAGCATACTTGAAGCTGTCTGGTCTAATTAGCACGAAAGATTCTTTGAATACCGTTTAAATTCATGTTGCATGCAAAATGCTGCAGAAGGTTATAGGATCCCTTTCTACTCTGTAGGACAAGAAATCTGAAAGATTTTGATAATGAAGCTGTAGAGCCTGTTTCTGCTTTCCTATCCTGCCCTCTCCTCTGTTCAGTCCCTTCTCTCAGTTTGTCACCTGTGGTCTCATGAATTAGCACAATGCTTCTTATCTCTTTGTTAGTGACGTGGGGAACATGCCAAGTGGAACACACAAACACCCTTGATTTTCAGCTTTCAAATCTAAACATGGGCGCGGTGCTGCAACACTCAGGCACTTCTGACGCTTATGGTGCCGTGTTCTTCAAATACCTAGAGCAGGATTCGATCCAGCAATACATTTTAATAACAGTTGATTACCGTGGTGTTTTTAAGCCATCAGAGCAGATCTGACAGGAGCAGGATCGATGTCCTAAATCACCAGCTCGGTGCCTCAGGTTTTGTTTCCCGATTTTACCGTGCCTCGAAGGCCTCTCTCGGTGCTGCCCAGGGAAAGCACTGCAGAGATGCTCTTCCGAAGCAGCAGCCGGGCAGCTTAGCTTCCCACGCCGATGTCCGCGGTGTCCGCCTCCTCCGCCGTTCTTCCAGCACGGCGCCGGGATGCGCGGGCACGGCCGGCCGGGAGCGCGCGGTGCCGGCTCCGCGGGGCACAGCGGCATCTCCTGGCGAGGCGGGGAACTGCTCCCGGCCGGCCGCGCGCTCTGCGTCAGGGAACGCCGGGTTAGGGCTCTGCTCTCCTTCGCACCGGTATAAGCTACTTTCTCACTATTTTGGAAGGCGGTGGCGGAAAAATATTTCATTCACGTCCTAGCCTGCATTCAAAGCAGCGTGGCCTGCAGGTCGAGGGAGGGGATTCTGCCCTTCTGCCTGCAGTGCTGCATCCAGCTCTGAGGTCCTCGGTGTGAGCACGGCATAGAGCTGATGGAGTGGGTCCAGACGAGCACCAGCAGGATGATCACAACGCTGGAGAACCTCTCCTGCAGAGAGAGGGTGGGGAGTTGGGGTTTTTCATCCTGGACACCTTATTGTGGCCTTCCAGCATGCAAAGAGGGCTTACATGAGAGCTGGTGAAGGATTTTTGACAAGGATATGTAGTGGTAGGACAAGAGGGGATGGTTTTAAACTGAGAGTAGGTTTAGATTAGATATTCAAAAGGAATTCATTACTGTGTAGGTTGTGAAATACTGGAACAGGTTGTCTGCAGAAGTTGTGGATGCCTCATTGCTGGAAGTGTTCAAGGCAGATTGAATGGGTCTTTGAGCCATCTGATCTAGTGGATGACATCCCTGGCCATGGCAGGAAGCTTAGAACGGCAGGAAGCTTAGAACTCGATGATTTTTAATGTTTCTTTCAACCCAAACCTTTCTATGATTGTGTGATGCTATTAAATATATGAAGTAGGCATCCTGGTAAAGCTGTATTTTAGACTGCAAAAATCTAAGGTGCAAAGAATCATGAAAGTAACACATTTTTGATGCATTTCTTAAATAAATACAGCTCCATCTTGCTTGACACAACTTTGAAATAGTAGCTTACCCTGTCACAATCCTCTGTGTGCTTGATTCCCCAAAGATAAATTTGTATTTCAACTACCATTGAAATTCAGTAACTGCTGAAAGGGGAAAATGTGAAAAGGCTGGCAGGCTGAATTGAACAAGAACTCTTGTAGAAGAAGCTAACAGGCTAAATTCAAATCAGGGCCATGTAATTATCCAAATGAATCTAGATGAAGCACTGAAGTTACTTTTACAAAAGCACACAGGGATGCCACTCATTATCTACTTCACATGTCATTCAAAAGAGATATTGTCACTTAAGACTTTGCAGTACATATTAAATGAAAGAAAAAGTAGTTCCTTTCATTTTAGCAATGTTCTGTTATGCCCAATCAGGAAATACAGGCTTTGTGGCTGGTACCAAAGAGCTAGATAGTAAAATAAGATATATGTGACAATGTAAATGGGGTGATACGCATGAAAACTCCATGGTAAAGGGTTTTTTCCCACATGACATTTAATATATTTGTTTAGAGTGAGAAAATTACCATCTCACTTCCATTACTTTGAATCCATTGCTCCTATAAGCTGTCTTTTTAGCTGGATTGTTAGATCTGGATCTGTGTAAGTGCTGAAGAAATAAGCAATGTAACCACGAGACCTGCAAGTGCCTAATCAGCAAATACTAAGTGTTCTGTTTTCAATAAATATTGAGGGATTTTTTTTTTTAAAGTAATGTCTCATTCCAATCACATGGTGTTTATATTGGTCAGTGAATCACAACATAGCTCTTTCTCCAGCAAGACTTCACGCTGTGTTATAAAAATTCTTGCAAGTAGTAAAGACTGTGTTGTTACATAGCCAGCTTTACTGAAGGGAGACTTCTGTTTGTGGGTCATGTCCTTCAGAACCTGGAAAAGGCTGGATCTGATCAACCTCTTGGAAAATCTCTCCAGGGCACTGATGCTCTCTTGTAACTTATGGGTCTCTTAAGAAATGGAAAACTAATCCCAGCTTTTGCATTAAGAATCAAGTGTTTGCTCGTTTGTTAGGAGGTATGGTAAGAAATATAAGTAATCATGGAATGAACTATCATTTTGACACATTGCAACCACTATTACAAGACTTTTTTCTTGACATGTTGAGATGATAGAAGAGCAAATGAAGGACGAAGATGAAGCAGATGAAGGTTGGCAGGACCACAGCAGCTGCTGTTGGAACAATAGCTTTACAGAACAGTTAAGGTATGAAATACAACATGTAGAACAATTATTTTTAAATTTCACATTACTGTAAAAGTTACAGTGAGGTCATGCAACTCTTTACACAAATCTGCTTTGTTTTTCACATGGCTTGTTTTTCAATATTTATATGTGTGCTAGAGGCAAATGCATCTGTGCCTCACAAATTCTTGAGGAATTCCTATAGAAAGCAAACTCTTTAGAGTGATAATAATCTGTTCAATTTTTGCTGACAAAAGAGTGGAGAGGAAATGAACAATTAAAAGAGAATAATGTGCCTTAGGGGGTCAAAAAGTTCTGTTTTACTATTGAAAGTCAGGATCCAAAGCACTCTTGCTGTAGAAACAGTCTTAGTTTTCACCAGTTAAAAATCAACTAGTGTTCCAAGAAGAATGCCAATTTTCAGGTTTCCTACTCCTCTGCCTCACTGAAGGTTTTACTTGAGACTTGGTAGGAATATCTCAAGGCAATGAAGTACAATAAGACTCATGTGTTTTGGGCCTGTTAAAATTTCATAGCTAGTGCTGGCATGTACATTTAAGATGTGAAACCCCTATCCATGGGAACACCTTCAGCTGTGCATGTTTTCATGTGGACTACTTCAGTAAAAATAATACAAGTACTGAAAATCTCACCTATGAAGTTCTGGAAGTAGCAAAATTTATGCTTTTTAAAATTATGTACTGTGTAGGTCCTACATTACACATAAATATGCTAGTATGTTAGCACAAAACACCAAATATCTCCTTTTGGTTTTTGATGTTTGTTTCTTTTTCCTAAGAAGAAAGTGAAGATATGTGGTGTATTGATCCTCTGGATATATTTGTCAAAGTAAGTCCTTACCAGAAAAGAATTGAACTCACTAAATGAATTTAGAGATTTAAGAAGATCTGTGTTCAAAGAATCCCTGAAAACTCAGCCAAGAATTCGTTGGGGCTGAGTGTCAGCGTGTTGGTCTGGTTGGTTGGTGACCGGCTGCTGATCCTGGGGTAGAAGTACTTCATCCAGAAAGTCTTTTAAAAGAAACTGCTAGGATTTGTGAAGGATTTACAGGAAGAGTTTGCTGTGGGTATTGAACAATTCCTCTCTGGAATGACATAAACATGCTGTTTGATTTCAATATACTGGGAATTAACTACTGTGTCAAGCATCTTTAGCTGACAAGGAGCAGCTGGAGACTGACTGGGTAAGTAGTGAAAGAGGAAGGCTTACTCCAAAATCTCAAATTTAGAGTGACTGATGGGATATTGATGGTGTCTCAATGCCATTGTTTTCATATAGTAACTTAGTGGACAATATGAAATTCTTAGAAGGAAAGCAAATAATTCATTGGCAAAAATACTGTCTCACCTTGCCCCTCCACATGGTGAAAGCCAATCAAAATCTGGCTCCTATGTCAGAACTGTTATTTCCTTTAGTGTTGGAATTAAAATAATAGTCTTATATTTCCTGACTTTGGCAATGCCAGAAAGGCTGTAGAGGTGGTAAAATCTGCTGCTAGAAATCCTTTTCTGTTGATAGTTTTCAGTTAAATATGAGGAACAAATTCTGATCAATAAACTACTCCTTTATCTTTACTGGACTTGCCCTTAAGTGTGTATCAGTGCAGAATCTATGTTATTAATATTAACACTATCATCTATACTACTTCTGAAATTATATTTTCTTTCCTAGTATGCGTTCATCTCAGAAAACGGAACTTGACTAGATTATTTTTTTAAGATTGCCAATTAATTTACTGTGAACCTTAATTTATGGGACGTGGATAAGTAGGTTATTCATATACATGAGTCATGAATGCCTGTTAGGTCCGAAATTTAGAACTCTTTTTCTCCTCTCTCCTATTCAACCTCCTGTTTATGCATGTTAGAATTTGAAAAATCTAAAAATGTTTTCTGGCCTGCTTTTATACTTGCCTATTTGCAAAGACCTCATGCCACATATGTTGGAAAAAATGGATATTTGTTTTTCTTCATAAAAAAGCCTTTATACCATATAAAATACTGGCAGAATC